GCGGCTGGAACCAAGGCCCCACAGCAGAGAGGCAGATGGAAGTTGGCACCCCTCACGCAGGGTCCGGAGGCAGACAGTCCAGGACGGGTCCAGGAGGCTCCTGTCCCTAACGCCCTTTCCTCCCAGAGCAGGCGCCTCGTCCCCGCGCTCAGGACAGAGGGAGGAGGAGAAAGGCCTGCTTCTCTCTCCTAGGGCGGATTCTAGAGCTTGTGCAAACCACTCCCTTCCCGTCCGGAGGGAGAGTTTGGTTGCACAACCAGCCTCGCTAGGAGGTGGGAGCGCTGGAGTCCTAGGCGGGCACGTGGCCTGCCAAAGGTCGGGCGGAGCTCTGGGACGTGAACGAGGCTACTGAAGCCGCCTGGACTCCTTGGCCCCACTGCTTCCAGTGTTCCTTCACAACTGGTCCACTCTGTACCTATAGGTCATGTTTCATGAGAGGTAAAATTGCATGAAGTGATCCATAATTCAGGAAGCAATTGAAAATTATGGGCTGGCGGGTGCCTTTCATGTATTTTGCTTGCAGATTACTGGCAGGGTTGCCTTACTGACACTGGAACCTGGAGGCTTCCCCAGCCCCCATGGGCATCCACAGCCAGAGGTGTCCTGTACAGGGCAAGGCGCCCATGTTCATTCCCTGCTCCGGTCTTCACTGCTCCCTCAGTCCCTGTGGGACGGAGCTGGGGACATTGAGGGTGACCCAAGGCAGCTGTGGCCCAGCTAGCCCGGCTCAAGGCTCATAGAGGAGCAGCTGGTCTCCTGAGCCCAGTGTCCGTCATGGGAGGCGACTGCCTTCCAGCACTGAACTGAGGGGTGTTTCAGTTTGGAGACACGGAGCACAAAGCGCCAGCCGGGGTGGTCCTGGAAGAGAGGGGTCCAGCCCAGCGCCCACTCCCCAGCCTCAGTCCTGTGTGCGCCGGACACTCCAGCTTCCTCCCGCCCAGATGCTTGTTCTCCAGTCCCTGTGGTCAAACCCGTGCTTGGGGACCCACTTCCTTCAAGCAGCTGCCCTGACCCAGCCCTGCAGGGGAGCATGTGCTGTGCTGTGTCCTCCTTGGTCCCTGGACCGGTAACTGCACTTCAGTGGGTCCATCTCATCTTCCCAGCTGGACTGGGACCTGCACGGTGGGCTTGCAGGGGCCGGCCACAGACAGCCCAAAACCCCCGTGAGGAGCTGGGTCTCACGGGGAGGGGGTGAGAGCTGTGGACAGATTTCAAGGAGAGCAGCACTGGTTATCCAAAGATGGAGAAGCTCTATACAGTCAGCAAAAACAAGACTGGGAGCTGACTGTGGCTCGGATCATGAACTCCTTATTGCCAAATCCAGACTGAAATTGAAGAAAGTGGAGAAAACCATTAGACCATTCTGGTATGAACTAAACCAAATCCCTTATGACTATACAGTGGAAGTGAGAAATAGATTTAAGTAACTAGATCTGATAGACAGAGTGCCTGATGAACTATATGGATGGAGGTTCGTGACACTGTACAGGAGACAGGAATCAAGACCATCCCCAAGAAAAAGAAATGCAAAAAAGCAAAATGGCTGTCTGAGGAGGCCTTACAAATAGCTGTGAAAAGTCGGGAAGTGAAAAGCAAAGGAGAAAAGGAAAGATATACCCATTTGAATGCAGAGTTCCAAAGAATAGCAAGGAGAGAAAAGATTCCTCAGCAATCAATGCAAAGAAATAGAGGAAAACAACAGAATGGGAAAGACTAGGGATCTCTTCAAGAAAATTAGAGATACCAAGGGAATATTTCAAGCAAAGATGGGTTCAATAAAGGACAGAAATGGTAGGGACCCAACAGAAGCAGAAGGTATTAAGAAGAGGTGGCAAGAATACACAGAACAACTGTACAAAAAAGATCTTCATGACCCAGATAATCACAATGGTGTGATCACTCACCTAGAGCCAGACATCCTGGAATGTGAAGTCAAGTGGGCTTTAGA